GGGGGGGGAGGGGTGAAGTATTTATCGTTGGGTGGTAGGGGGGGGGGGGGGGGGGGGGGGGTTATGTCAGAAGGGGCGAGGGGGGTGCTTGGTTGTTTCATTCTTGTCGTCATTCAAGGGGGGTTACTTGGTTGTTTCACTCTGGCCGTCATGTCAGGGATGAAGCCGATCCCCCACAGGACTACTGGCATTCGTTCTCGTGGACAAGTACATACGAATGCATACAACAGAGAAGAATGCTCTTCCTTGCGGGGGAAGAGCCAAGGCCTTTGCTTCGAAGGCGCGTTTCGATATCGAAAAAAAACCAAAGAAAATGGAAGAGCGCTGAGAGAACGAATGTCCCCGGGGGACGAATCTGTTTCGATATCACCACGCGGGTTCCTCGTTCTTCGTCATTGTTGGTTTTTTTCTTGTTCGTTGTGGTCGATGCGGTTGTTGTCATCGACTACACTGTCCTGGTTTCGAACGGTTCCCGGTTCTCGCTCTTTGGTCATTCACAATTTTTATTTCCAACCTTTCTGGATTTCTAGATGATTCCCCGATTATTTTCCTTCTTATATCGAACCTTCCCCTTTGGTAGATCCCTATCGGTGTACCAACCGACCATACCCTCCTGGGTAACAATAAGAATATAGGGATCCACAAGTTCCGATGTGCAATGTCTATACTAGGAAGCATAAAAACAAACACAGAAACACTACCCATTCGAGATATAACCACAGTCGAATGTATGTATGCAAAACGCCTACTGCTGTACCTCGTTTAGGAACCTCTCGAGCTGGACCGGGAGCCTCTCCCGGTTGAGCTTGGCCGTCGCCGACATCTCGCGAGCATGCAGCAGGAAGGCGCTCGTGTCAAGGGAGCTGATTATCGGACACCAGCCAAGGCGGCGACAACAACAACAAAGGGAGCAGAAGGGAACCGGTCGAGTTTTTGAGAGAGCTGCTACAGTTACCGACGTGTGAGGGCCAAATCATGCGCACTCAGTGTTGCGTCCGTTCTAATGTCGGTGTCGAAGGCCTCCCTACTTTCTCTAGGTCCCTGTTTTCCTAGCTCTCAACGCTTCGACCGCGTCCCCGTTTTCGCTGGCGTGATGAACTCGCTCGCGCGGTCATGAGTCACGGGGCCCCTCTACGGTAGGAGTGACTCTATGTTTCCCGACAAAACTACGATAAAACTGCCGCTAACCGCACCTGAGGTGAGACATGATGAACTCGCTCACGTGGTCGTGAGTCACGGGGCCCCACTGAGCCGGGGAATAGTGCGCGGTCACCATGGCCTGGAAGACAAGCGAAGAAAACACGGAAAAAAAATTAGGACCAAACAGGGAGAGCTTCACACGCTGGTCCACTTCATCTATTTCATATAGTAGTCATGGCCTGTGCGAGAGATAGAGAGCCAACAGGAAGGACCAAAGGGGAAAAGGGTCAAAAGTGAATGTCACTGCTGGCCGCGAGGAAGAACACACACAGAAAGAGCTCCGCGCGTGGGATGAAAGCAGCAGAGGAGGGGAGGGCGATGCGCCAGCGAGCGCGCAAAAACGAGAGGAGATAGAGGGAACGAACGAGGGGCGTATGGAGCGCAACAAGAAGGCAAGCGGCACGCCAGCAACACGAGCGTCGTGGGATAAAGTTCGCTTTAGTCTCGAAGAAACGGCCATTCTCGATGTGGAACAACGTTCGCTGTACACTTGGATGACGCGTCGCCCTTTCTCGCTCGGTGATTCTGTGTAGCCCATTACTTTCATGCGGCCTATCCAAAAATACACCACGGGAGGCGAGTCATCACATAGATCATGTCGCCCTCGATACTTCCGGGCGCGATTCTCTGTGCCAAGATGAGCAGCAGCAATACCAGCGTCGCCAGCATCACCACCACCGCCACGGCCAGATATGAGGATGAAGGCAGCGACAACAACATCATCAACAACAACAACCCGAAAACGAGGAAAAAATCACCTGCTCCCCTTCCCTGGGCTGTGGCTGATCGGGGTTCAGGGCGGCGACGTTCATGCCCTCCTGTTGCGGGAACATGAGCATCATGGCCGGCAGCTTGTACACGCCGAGAGCTGCGAGAAGATCCTGCGGACCCCCCCCACCCCCCCCCCCACCCGACCAAGAAACACAAAAAAGTGGACGTGAAGAAACAGCAGGCAAACATGCGCGCGACCATGAGCGGGAGGTTTTCGTGGGACAAACAGCAGATCTCGCTCGCATTCAGACGCTCTCTCCAAACACAAAGTTACGTATACGGTACGCATTGAGACAAGAACGCAAAAGGAAGCAGAGCACATACGCAAACATGTAGGAAAACGTTTCAGCACAGCAAATGACACGGGATGACAGCCAGAGGAATCGGTTGTTGCTGTCCGGTGGTTCTTGGTGTCGCAACCACAACAGCAAATTCGGGACACGGCGCAAGCCACAGAGTGAAAAAATACCACCGTGCCTTCAGCTACGATGGCCACAGCGACCGTTGCCGGACTGCACACTGGAGCAAAGCTTGCCACACAAAACCCAATGCCCCGGACACACATGCATACCTGATCGGGCTTGGCGATGAACATGACGCGAACCTTGGCCGACTGGAAGGCCGCTGCTACGGTCTTGATCACCGCCGTGGGCTCTTCCTTCTTGGACAGCACGAAGAGGCACATCGGGCTTTCGCCCTACACACACCACCGCATCACAGCAGCAATAGCAGCAGCAGCAGTGGCATCAGCATCAGCAGCAAGTGCGAACTTGTTTCTAGAATGAAGAGATGAGACTCAACAAGAAGCCCAGAAAAAAGAAACAAAAACATGCACAACAAAACAAGGAGAGCGACACGCGGAATCGAACGCTTGTCGACTTCGTAATGATGCTTCGCAGCGACACACACAGCAGTCAGTCCGTCGAAAAAACGGCAGCATGCTCACCGAAAAGATGTTGGCGCCCAAGAAGGACTGCACCACGTCTTGGATCCTCTGGGTGCCGACTCCCGCTGGTATAACGGTTACGACTTCCGGGAGAGACGCCTCCGCCTCGGCAACGGCTTCCTTCACCTGGAAACCCAGGCAAACGACGGTGAGAAAAAAGTAGGACAAGAACAGGATACGACGAACGTGACAAGCAACACATGCTGACACCCACACAGACGGGATGAAAAGCAACGCACGCCCCCGACACACACCTCCACCTCTACCCCCCCCCGTTCAAATCACGAAGGCAAAATTAGTCTTGACTGCAGCTGTGCGCGGTTCGAGGCGTCACCCCGAGACCGGCTTTGCGTGGGAAGCCATCCCGCGCGGTGTCATGTGACGGTAGCCTACATCAAGTGTTGTCTGCTGGACGTCATTCTTCACACCTTTCGTTTTTTTCCTGGGCGCCATCAGCATGGGTCAGTCACACAGGAGGCAAAGCCACACGGTTGGTTTTCCAAACACAGCAGAAGCGTCGAACGAATGGAGGAGCAATATCAAAATCAAATGCCAAAGATAAAAAAAACAACAACGGGGTGCAGGCCCACCTAACCCACCCTACCCAAATCCAGATCATGATCACGCCCCCCTTCACAAGCCCGAACGCCGGCACAATGCTACCTGGACCTCACACGGCGGGCCAAGACCACCACCAGCCACCGCTCTCACCCCCGTTGCCGGCAGCACGGAAGGGAAGCCTCGCTTGTCTCCGTCGACGCCCTTGCCGTGAGGGTACACCTTCAAGAAAGGCATCTTCTGCTTCGCCGATCCCTCGCACTGGGCCGGGTGTGCGGTGCAGTCCAGCACCCCCGCTCGGATCTGGTTGGTCGTTGGTTGGTTGAATTGGCGGCGGCGAGAAAAACCGTCGCCGCGAGGGAGAAAAATTGTGTTGGCGGGGGCGGGGGGTGTACTTATGTTTTTCAAGCCTTTGTTGCTCGACCGATGATCGGGGAGGCTTCAGAGCGACAAGCTCGTTCGGAAACCACGAGACCACAGTCAAGAGTCATGAACTAATAAATATCCTGTGGAGGTTCGGGTGCTCTGAGCTGCCCCGAGTGCCTGGTCTTCCAGGGAATCCTACTCCAGCTGGGGGTCTATAAACAGTGCATGGTGCTCTCCCTGAAGTCCTGAGAAACGAACACCATCCCGACAAAAGGCGAGAGTCGGGGGCAGCGGGGCTCCGCCAGCCCAACAAACATGAACCAGCAAGACACCACCATCATCGCACTACACGAAAATCGGTTCGGAAAACGGACAACCGCGGGCATCTCCCGGACGCACTCGCTCACCTCCCCCTGGAGACCCTTGGTGGCCTCCGCCCACCCGGGGATGGAGTCAACGTCTCCCCCCTCCACAAACGCCGCCACCAGGGCCTCCGTGCCCTTCTCCTCCAGCACCGACAGCAGCTCCGGGTCTAGCTCGAGCACGCCTCCCGTGGTGCCCTTGCGGTCCCCGCCGCCGTCGCTACCGGAAGTGCTGGCACCGGCGCCCCCTGCCTCCGTTGCGGAGGAGATGCCGGCCCCGTCTCGGACGAAGGCTAGCATTGCCTGCGAGAGGCGTTCGTGATTCGATTAGTCGCGGCGCACGCGTGCGGGCGCGGGGATTCCGGTTCTCGAGCTCCGCCCGTGGTTCCTATTTCGGTTCTGGTTGTGGTTGAGATACGGGCAAAGTTCCTGCGGGGTGTAGCGTAGCCACCCATACAGAGGCGCCTATTTTCCCCCAGTCTTCGACGTAACGTAAATCCGAAGCACTCACTGCCTTCCTAACATTAGCAAGGGTTGCGGTCCGTCTGGCGCCGCTACGAAAGTACCACACGAAGAGGGAGAGTGCTACCCACTTCAACGACGGTCCTCTTGCCCCCCGAGAAACCGTCCTTAACAGTCAAGCACGCTAAACTCGGCAAACCATCATCCTTTAGGCCAGTCCACACGGCAATAAAAAAAATCTGCCCGCGTTGCTCCCCAAAACAGGTGCCTTGCAGTCAAGCACGCTACGCTCGGCAAGCCATAAAAAAAACTTGACCGCTATTCGCTCTCAACAACATCAAATGGTGACTGTACAATTATCCATGCATGCTCTCTCTGCCCCCGCCCCCCTTCACCTTGGCGTCATCCACGGCGCCCCCGTACACGCTCCCTTCTCCGGATTCCTTGTTCAAGAGCACTAGGAAGGGGACGGACGGAATCGTCCCCGGGATGTCAACGGTGCCTTTCAGCATCCTGGGTCATTCGCAAAAAAATAATGAAAGGGAGGGGGGGTGGTTCGACCAACATTTCAAACTCGAAGGAGAAAAGAATGGCTTTGTGCCATCAATGAAGTTGGTATTCCTGTGTGGAGCTACTAGTTTCGCCAAGAGAAATGTCAAAGGCTATGCTAGGGAAGGGTGGGGGACGGCTGCGGCACATTGTCTACCGAAATGATCAACAAGTATTGAGGACACCGTAGGAGCAAGCGAGCACCGCTCTTCTAAAGCACCGAGGCGTTTTTCACTAGCAACAAGAACTTTCCGCCTACAGCAGGCGTGTACCACAACCAAAAGGCACGAAAAAAACAAGTAAAGTATATAACAGCTTCAAAGCAGTTGCGCATTCCCCCGTCCCCCGCTGAACTACCCCCGTCCGCTGTTCCTAACAAAATCGACGAGCCTACTCACCCCGCCAATGCCTCGTCCTGAGCCACATCTTCGTCATCTTCGTCATCAGGGGTGGTCGGTCCCTTTGCCAGGCGTGCCTGCACGGCGCTGACCTTGCCCCTCACCTGGTTCGCCAGCACCCTCAATACCGGAGACGCTTTGCTGGGAATGAGGAAGTGAGTGAGTGGGGAAGAAAGTGCGTGACTGGGAAAGAGAGTGCGTGAGTGGGAAAGAGAGTGCGTGCTTTCGGAAACTTATAGGGGGGTGGGGGCGGCCGGAGTATGAGAGATGTGTGCGCGTGACAACGCGCATTGTTGAGACAAAAGAAAAACAGAAAAACACGACATCACGAGAGATGTACCTATCGTACACACCCTCAACCCCAAGACAACAACAACAAAAAAAACTGGTGGCACGTCGTGTTCTTCGCTCAAGACACCACGAACACCTTACAACTAAAGAATTTCAAATCGTCTGTCCGTCGCTCTCACCCGGCTTCGGTGAAGAGGATCGCAGCGAACGCCTCCTCGCCATCCCCTTCCGCCAGGGCCTCCTTCAGGCTTGTGGACGGACCCGACGAGCTCTTCTCCAGGTCAACGGACACAACCGAGTCCGGGATCGCGCTCAGCACCTTCTTTTGGAGGGAGCGTGCGTCCTGCAAACGCGCAAATAAAAGAATCATCGCGCGCGCGGGGAAGGGGGGAGGCAAGACAATAGACGCGGGTGAGTACATCGTGTTTCTGCATCCAGTGCTCTTGCAAAGATTGAAAAAACACGGGTTGAAGAAAACGGCCGCAATGATACGTGCCGTACGATACACTCGCGTCTGTCTCATACGAGAAGAGCTGCGGAACACGGCACCGCAAATAAAATCCGTGCGCGCAACTAGAAACCCGCAGTACCGTGGCAGGATGCCTTATCTCCGAGTTCTCCGAAAAGAGGTGTAGAGGCTTCCCACCACCAGCAGCGATGATAAGGACCGGCAGCGACGTCACGAGCAGCCGTCAAACAAACTTTTTACCTGAAACATGGTGAGCATCTCCTCAGGCCGTACCGGGAGACCGCCGTAAGGGTTCGGAGTGCTCTCCGAGTGGTGCACCTGGAACATGATCGCCGGGTCGATTCGGAAGGGATAGAGGGTCAAGCACGAGAGGACCACGAACGAAGAGGCCGTGTTGTCTACAACCCCGTGGCGCTGCCTGCTGAGGAAATATCCACCAGTCAGCCTCGATCCGATACGAAACGGTGGCATCTAGGAGAGGAAGAGAACGAAGAACCCCTCTACCGGGCCATCCTTATCGGCACACACAGCACAACCATATCTGGTTCAGAAAGCGACTTGACAGAGACATCGTTTCGTGAGGAATTCATCTACTTTAGATACCAGGCTTACCCGAGGTCATCGACCTACCGGTTTAGCATCATGTCTACATGTCCAAGTCTATTTTTGCATCAACCGGCTAGATCCCTTCACCGAACCGTACACGCCACCGCCCCTCCAACGTCATAAAATAGTCCTTCCCCAGACCCTCTCTCAGGGGTAACCAGCTCCTCCCCGTTCTCCCCCAACCCCCACCAAAGACCTCGGATACCATGGAAAAAATTACGATGGAAATTTTCCGGGAATTTCGGAGTATCTCCGTCCCGGGTTTAATCCAAGGCTTTTAAGTCAACGCCACACGCATGCACACGACGGGACACGGGCCCCAACCCCTCCTGGATTGGCGCTCCGTGATTGGTCCTGTGGGGACAATGTTCCGTCCTGCTTTTGGGGATGGGTGGTCAGTTTCCTAACCCCCAAGGCATGGGGAACACGAGTGCGCCCCCCCCCCCCCCGTCCTCGGGCTTGCCTTGAACATCATGGGAAGTCCCTTTGGGATGCTCAGGTCTCTTCTCAGCTTGGTCTCCTTGGACAGGTCGACGGCGGCGACGGACACACCCCAGGAGGAAAGCTTGTCGGCGGCCTCCTCGACGGCAGGCAGGATGGTCTCGCAGTTGGGGCAGTCGGCACCCGCGTACAGCCACACGAGCGCCGGGTTGTTGGACTTGAGGATGGAGCTGCGGTGTCGACGTCGCCGTTGGTAATTGATGGTGGTTACATGTTGTCGTTGTTGTTTCGTCGGATGATGACACCGTTGTTGGTAGTGGTGATGGTGGCGATCATGGTCGTCGTAGTCGTTGTCATCACCGTTCGGGGAGAAGACGACAGAGGAAAGGGCCAGGGCGGGAAAAGGGCGGCGAGCAGTGCCGCCCGCCGTAGACGGTTGCGCGCACGGATCACGGTTGAGACGTCGGGTTTGTGAACGAACTAGACAAACCAGGTGTGGCGAGAAACGAGGCTGCTGGCATCAACAGCGGGAGAAGAATGTACACACTGAAAAGGTGGCCCGGAAAAGAGTCCCGCGCAGCGCGGCGTTGCAGCTCCAACGGGGGGAACGATCTGGGTTGTCTTCGTTTTCATCGTTTGCCAGAGTAGTTTCGATGTCGTCGTGGACATGACAACCCGGTAGGGAATGCTACATCTACGAAGCATGCAGGATAGACTAGACACAGGTGACATCTTGTCGTTTCCACTGAGCAGCAGTCCAATGGGCACTACGGAATATAGTACAACACAAAGTCCGACACCCAATGCATGCACGGGCGAAAGTACCGTCAGAGAAAAAAAGAGCGTAAGACTACAGTAAGCATCGAAAAAAACATTAGCTACATGAAAGTCCTGTGGGGGCAAGTTGTACTCAACCCTCTAGGTGAACACTTTATACGGCGCACTTGTTCACAAATGCAAGCAGCCTGGAAATTACAAAACATATATGAGACACACAAGACAGCTACCAAACTGTCTTGTTGAGCCTGTTACCCGCAGGGGAGATGTCCCTATATGCTGTCTGGGAAACCGTAGACACAGGTACTTTCTGACGCTATGAATTCATTGCTAATCTGTCTCAGACTCGTTTCTATGATAGAGATGGATTCGTTGTGTCATATTAAAAAAAAAAAAAAAGTGTGATGGCAACAGGATCATATGAATAGATGTTGGAATCTATTTTGAGTGTCGCCTCTATGCATATGCGTAGGACTCCCGGAAGCTGTCTCACAGACATAACAACAATGTTTCTTTCATCAAGACGAGGAGGCTGATCACCGAAATGTGCAGATTGCAGAAGAGGACGCGAGAGGAGGCAAACGAGGGATGGTATGTGCGACGCAGAGAATCGGGGCCGTTGATTGGGCCACGCAAACCCGCCGCACTTTTTTGCACCAGCAACTCGGAAAACTAAGAAGTTTGGATCGAGCTTGTGGTTGACCCCCAGTGGGCGTTCATGTTGAACTAAGTGGAAGACAGCAGGCGAGCACGCTGCATATAGCATTCACCGCTGATCGCCCCTGCGATGGGTGATACACACTCCCAGCACCGCTGCGCTGCTGTCTCACAGCTCATCGCAGTCTTTTTCCCCGTGGGAAGATTTTCTAGAGTCCCGCCGCACACGCGCAGCCCAGACAGCAGTGGTTGTGTAAAACGCGTCCTCTTCTGGTCTATTCCACTCGCAACCACTCGGATACAAGCCTTGCCCAAGGACGACATGGTTAGCGGCGCCGGGTCGTGCTTGTGCCACAACACTGACCTGATGTACGTTGAGCGGTCCAGGGTCTCGATCTGTCCGCCGCTGGCAATCGAGAAGCCTTCGCCCACCGTATCCTTTTCAGCCCGCACGCCTCCATGCAGAAGGGTCGGAGATCCGACCAGCACGGTCAGAGCACCGGCCAGAGAAGCCTGGCGACGTAGACGTGGCATCTCGACTCTCTCTCTCTCTCTCCTTCCGCGCTCCCCTAGTGAGTATGTTTTGACAGAGAGGGTGTCGCGTGTCGCGTGTGGCTGCTCTCTCTTGCTTTTTCTTGCTGGGAGGCACCGTGAATGCAACTTCAAATCGCAGCCCCCCTTCCTTGTTTTGCGGTGGTTGCACCTGCGGCATCGCCGCGCACCGCGCACACCTCTTGCTCTCGGCTTGGCCTATCGTCGACCACTGCTGCTGTGCTGGCACCGACATGACGCGATCTCTTACGGTGAAGACGCTGAAGGGGGAGGTCTTCCGGATAGATGTCGCCGAAGAATCTGTGGTGAGGACAAGCCACGGACTTCTAGTCTACTGCGGGCTTTATTTGCACCTGCTGCTGGTGCTGCTGATCCCGCCGCACTTTTACAGTAGTAGCCCTTGTTCCACCACACCCCGTTACTCTTCACACACACGGACAGGGTGTGCAGATGCAAGGACGGGAGAGTTCACTTCGCCACGCCCATGTTACCTTCCGCACATCGATGGTGGAATATTCAAGTTTTTTTTTTTTGAAGTGGGTGTTTTGCTGATTTGCGTAGCATATGGACATCATAATTTCTGTCTATGGAATTCACTACCGGTACTGCTGTAAGACGGCAGTATTCAGTATGCAGCTGATTGCGCGTGAGACGGATTGATTGCTGTTGGTGTCTTGCATTCCTTTGCATTCTTGCGCGTGACTGCCATCATTCGCTGTACCTGGTGCATATGCACTGTACGGGAGCCTAGCCCTAAGCTACCAACCGGGCCCTGCACGCCTGGCACATCCAACATTGGGCAATGTTCTCCTTGCTTTTCCCGTCTCGAGCAGGCAATCCTTTCCCTAACCCTAACCCTAACCCAACTTCCTCGATTGTACATTTGCTTTATCGAAACTTCCTCGATTGTAGATATGCTTTATCGAGCATGTTCACTTTGTAGAAAAACGGCTACTTGTTCGACACGGGTCGCTTGGTACACAAGTACATTACAAAAAGAGCTCTCACTTACTTCATCAAGGAGTAGCTACAGCAGCAGCTCTACTTCATGGCAAACGGAGCGTGTGCCTTGTGCTTTCGCCCCCCTTTGCACTGCTTCCGTGCGCTTCGCTCCCGCTGTGCTTTCCGAGCGCGCTGAGACGGCCCCCCAGCCTTATTTTCAGCGTATAGTATGCAGTATTTTTGGTGGACTTTTTTTCTTCCCCACACCGTAAGGAGCGCGCGGCGAGTAGATACGGCCCGAAACATTCCTTCCCGCTGAATAATCTAAGGGGAGCAAACGTGACGGCGACACTTTTTTTATTGGTCCTCCAAGTTCGTGGATAAATAGCTTGGGTGTGTTTTGCTTTTGATATGGGGAAAAAAAGGTAAAAGAAATACTTCTTCGCAAAAATGTACTAACTTTCAAATTAAATTTTGGGACGCAATGGACGGACGGCGTGTCGTGTTCGGGATGACGGAAACGGCGCTGGAAAATCGCGTTCTTGTCAAAACGAGAGGCTTTTTCCTGGAATAGGATTTTGGCCGGCACCGTCCCCGGGCAGGCGGTGGGTGTACTTCCACGTGCCTGGCGCCACCCTGGGTCGGACAGCCTGAGCAAGGCACGCGGGGCTCCGTAGATCCTTGATAATCAAATGACACAAATACCCTACCCTAGAGGCTCCGTGAATCGTACCGGCCGCCTGGTACCCCCAACATGATTGGCCTTGACCGGACGACTCGGGCTCCGAAAATTAATTTTTGCTGAATATGTTCATTGCGACCGCATGTGGACGGTGGTTGGTAATCCTCATCTGGGTGTCGCGTCCTCTGTTTCCTGCCTTCCCTGATTCCATGAGGTACTTTCCCTTGGAGCATTGGGGTCAAGATCTTCACATGTGGCCAGTGCCTGACCAATAGCCTTTTCAAGCTTGTCTGTCGTGATGGTCTCCTTCCTCTAATAGTTTCTTGAGAGACTCGACGAGAGCCAACCCTGTTGGTAGCTGGGAATAGTCGGGGGAAACATTGCTCTCTATATATATGGCGTATCCGGTCGCTGCTTGCGAGGACTCGGCGAACACTTTAGAACGCGTTTACCCGTCGCAAAGGCCGATTTCTCGACCGAGAACAATGCTGGTTATTCCCATCTGCCCTTCACGTGTGGGTGGGTGCACTTGTTCCCGAGCTGTGCCTTTGAGGAAATCCACCTCACTCTTCGCTGGGCTTGCACGTGCCCCTGCTTGGGCGGATCTCCCGACACTCTGTTGCCATTTTGAGGATCAAATGGCAGACAGTGTCGGCATGTACGCCTAAGCAGACGTACTCGCAAACCCGGCAGAGGGTCGGTTTGATTTTTTGTAAGGCACAGCTCGGACACAAGTGCGCCTGCCCAGACGTGAAGGGCAGATAGGAATCACCAGCATTGTCCTCAGTCAGGAATCAGGCCAAGCCTCAGCGGTCTCCCAGTCAGCACAAGCATCGACCGTATACATGAGTGAGCTCCTTGCACGTATGTAGCATCGACGCCAACGCTACCCGGCTGAGAAATGAAAAGACGTCAGCCTTCGTTACAAGAACGTGAACAATATCAGCATCGGCGTTGTAGCGCTAACCGGTTGACCAATAGAAATACGTCAGCCTTTATCGCGGGACAATAATAAGAAGACCTCCTCACCCCCCCCGAACAGCAACAATCCTCCGCAGCGCCCCCCGAAGAGATCGGACGTGCGGTTCACATCATGTGTGTGCGTGTGTGATGTCGTTGCTGCTCCCCCCCCCCCGCCCTATCCGATCCACCTTTGGCAAAGTAGGAAGGAACGATCGGCCATCGGTGCGGTCCGGTGGGAACAACGCTCCGTCCTCTCGAGGACGCGTGGTCAATGGTCTAACCGCTAAAGCATGCGAAACATGAGAGTACGCCCCCCCCCACCCCCCGCCCCCCCTCCCTATCCGGTCCGATCAGATGAGCGACGTCAAGACCAAGATTTCGGAGGTGCGGGGGCACGACCCTGGCACGCAGGTCCTCATCTGCGGGGGTAAGACCTTGAAAGACGGCGACTCTCTCGCGGGCAGCGTCGCGGCCGGCGGGTTCCTGGTGCTGATGGTCAAGGTATGTATGACTTGTGATTGTAGGTTTGCTGTTGTTTCCTTCTACGCGTGGAATTCGTGCAATGATCACAGCGAGCCGCTATTGTAGATGGGTTTGTGGATGGAATATGAAGTAGTTTTTACTGTTTCCAGCTACGTGGAAGTCGTGCAACAATCACAACAGCATGCTTGGACACGTGGACTATGTGCACCAGTAACAAGGGCGTTTTTGGGTTCATTTTTTCCACCATTTTCATGGATTTCGCACAGCATCTACAACAGCCTAGTAGGACGATGGTGAGGATATGATGTGTGTGTTGACTATGCACAACAATAAGGACAGCGCTTTCGATCCATTTTTGTTTCCGTCTACACATGGAATGGAATCCGAACAACAGCCACAACAGCCTGCAAACAGGACACCGAGGGGCCCTAGCATCCCGTTTCAAGAACGTACAGCCTCGATGCTAGAAGAAATCCCCCCCACCCCAAGAAATTTCCTCAAACTCCGTCACCCCCCCCCATGCCACGACTTCGGGCGGTCCAATAATGGTGTCCTGCCTGTTTCAAGGAACCACAGTCAATGTACTCGAAGAAACATCCTCCAAAGAACTTCCCCCAACTCCATCACCCCCCTCCCCGCCCCCCCCCCCGCCTCGCCGACACGAAGCGACGGGCAAATCCCGTGGCAAACGCAGCACCGGCACCGGCAGCAGCCGCTGCAACCCCTGCCGCTGCTGCCGCCGCGACGCCAGCAGCAGCAGCCCCAGCAGCGGCGGCGCCAGCGGCAGCAGCGGCGCCGGCAGCAGCAACACCAGCAGCACCGGCAGCAGCAGCGGTAGCCCCAGCAGCAGCAGCGGCGACGCCGGCAGGGGCCGGCGGCGCAAATGAGGCGCTGGCGATAGACCCCGCCAACGTGGAAATGCTGACGGCGATGGGTTTTCCTGAGGATCAGGTAAATAGGCGGGAGAGATACGGGGCACGGGCCACGGGCCACCTTCCTTTTCACTAGGCGACGCATGGCGATGATGAAATCGAGGGCCCCGACAGCAGAGATTAAAGACAGTCCCGGTGTTGTCATCAGCGAACTTCTGTATCATGTCGGTGCGGGAGGGATGTGATACGGCGGGCGGGGGAGGGACACTACCGTATAATGACACAAGATAACACCCCCCCTGGACCAATTTTCAAAGCCCGATTACTCCATGACCAAGAGGATGCATAGACGAAACGATACGTTTTCAGAGAGCTCTCGACTAGACGGCTTGAACACCGCCGTATCCGGCCCTGCGACTGTTGCTGCTGTTGAAAAATCGAGCTATGAAAATCGGTCGAGGGTGTGTGTTATATTGTGTCATATAAGGTAGTCGTCACGGCCGACTAGGTATTACTGGTGTGTTGTTTTCTGCCTCACGCCGAAGACAGACCAAACGAAAAGGTTTCGCTTTTTTGCTGTTGTCGACCGGACAGGGAAGACTGGAAATTGGCGCGAGAAATGAGGTGGTTTTCCAAGCATGCGTCGTAGGGTAAACGGTTTCGTCTTTCCCTCGAAGCGGCCGCTGTTGTACCGCTCGGCGCTAAAAAGGCCAAAAGGACCGTCTTCTGTCGATCGATGCTTACAATCGTAATAGCACGAGCTTGCTTGGCGTGCACTCGGCCTACGGGGGCGACCCGAAAATATGCAGCTGCAGACCCCCTTCTGATTTTCTCTTTTTGTTTTCGGTTCCGTTTTGTCTTTCGGAAGGCGACGGCGGCTCTACGCGCGGCGTTCAATGACGTCAGCAGGGCGGCGAGCTATCTCATGGAAGGCATTCCCGATAACGTGGGGGCGGGTGAGCGACATGGCATGATGCTGCTGTTGCTTTTTATTGTCGAGGAACATGTTGTCGTCGTTATTGCCGTCGTCGTAGTGGGTAGTGGTGGTGGTGGTGGTGGTGGTGGTGTGATTTACCATCCTTGTCCATGTCGTGCGTGTTCTTGCCACTTCTCTCGCTGTCGTCTGAAACATCTGGTCTCGTAACGAACGCCTTGGTGTTTCCTGCAGGAAGTGGCGGTAGTGACGCCCGCGGGGGCGGGGACGCAGCGCTCGCCGCGGCGATGATGGCGGGGGCGGAGGATGAGGACGGGGATGAGGGGGGTGGCGGAGCGGCAGGCTTAGCACAGGCTCTGATGGGAATGGAGGCGGGAGAGGGTAACCCTCTTAACTTCATGAGATTTCACCCTCAGTTTGACGAGGTGCGTGACAACTTTCCCCTACGCCGTTTCATGTTTCTTTCTTTTTCGAAGCACCTGTCCCGCGTCCTCTCTGGCCTATATGCCATGCCCCTCGAAACATGCCCATGATACAGCGGTTGTAATTTGATTTTTTCAGTTATGTGTTCAATAAGTAATATGGAGTGATGGGTTGTTCGTTTTAGCGCCGTGCAACCATGGCCACGGCATTCGTAGGTACGCGGATGTGAGGAACCGTACGTAGCAGCAACGCCAGCTACCACAATTGACTAGTCAGCAATAGCCTTGGTTCGATCCTCACGGTGCTTGCGAAAACCGTGGTTTTATTGATGCGGTGGCAATCTGGCATGTGTGCTTTAATAGTAAGTCTCCTTTCCTTGAATACGACTGAATCGTTTTCTTGAATACGACCGAACTTGAGAAATCAAGCGCAACACCATCGTTTCCGGGTCATATCCCGTCGGATGAAATAAATTCACAACGAGACCAACAGAAGCAATAACTCGCCGCACGCCACCCTTCGTTTGCTCTGTATTTCCGCATCACATATAATCACCAAGCAAGCAAACGAAGCCGTCCCCCAATATGCCGTCGGCGAATGCGGCTGAATTGGTCCCGTTTCGGCGCATGGTGCTGCTGCTGCTGCTGCTGCTTGTGTGTTTGTCAGCTCCGAGGCCTTGTGCGGGAGAACCCCGCGATGCTGCCTCAGGTGCTCCAGGGTCTGGCGACCCAGAGCCCGGTGAGAAGCTTGGCTTGGCTATGATGGTGTTCTTGGCGGCGGCGTTCGACCGTGGTGCTGTGTGTGGTTGTTAAACAGCGGTGGTCGTTGACGTGATGGTGACGGCAGTGATGACGGTACATTAAACGGAAACACGGTGTTGCTTGTTGATGTTGCTGGTCGTTTGAAGTGTTGCGAACGGATGCTGTGGACGTGGTGTTGTGGGGAGACCTGGTGTTGTGGGGAGACCTGCGTTGTGAAGCAGCGGTCATGGTGATGGTGGTTTCATGAGCGGTGTTGTTTGTTTGTTGGTCGAGGTGTTGATGTTGTTGGCACGGCGTAGTGTTGGCGTGCATGGATTTTGTTTTTGAGGATGACAGAGCACACAGCGGCGGCGGCAGTGGTGCTTTTGACATATTCAACGTGTCGTGCATGCTCTACATAGTGAAGTTTTGACTCTTTTCGTTCAAGCACCTCTCGGCCTCTGTACGTAGTGTCTCCGCCTACGGCAGTTTTTCAACCAAAACCTCACAATACCCTCCCCCCCCCCCCAACAATGTCTCTCTCGCGTCTCCCCTTTGCAGGAGCTCATCGAGAGGATCAACCAGCATCCCGATGACTTCTTGCGACTCATGAACGAGCCGCCCGACGCAGAGGGGCAGGCCATAATGGAGATGGGGTAAGCGGAGCACAGACAGATCGTTACATATTCATATGCATACCCACCGCGTAAGGACACGGTACGGTTTCTTGTTGCGCGAAAGTTTCCCGTGGAAAATTCGTGCTTGTATTGGTAGTCTCGGCTTGTATGTGGCGCCGGGACGAAACATTTGGCATTTGAGGAGTTAAGAGAAAGCGTCTGGCGTTATGAGGGGGAAGGTTCGATTGTTTTCAAGTTGGAAACCCGCGAGGACATGGCCATGGCTTTGAAGACCAAGACCGGCAACACGGCGATTGGCGTCAAAGGGTCCTGACCCCCAGGTTGCGATGGAGAGTTATGCGGTACCAACTAAAGCAAGCACAGCGACAACATGTGCTGCAGAAACGTTAGCTGGGAATGATCAACTACTACTAAATCACCGAAAGCATCGAGCGGATTTCACGGACTCCGTATATTCAGCCGTGAATTTCCCTGTGATTGAACCAACCCTTGCGGGAATATTCTCACTCACCGACCCACTCACGCACTCACTCACATAGTTGCATGTTTTTTTTTGCATTTTCGGGGGAATAACACAAACCTCTCCCGTTTTCTCACTCAACTCACTCACAACTTTCATATGTTTGCGCTTTTTCAGGGAACAACGCATGTCTCACTCGCTCTCAGTCACTCACTCACTCACTCACAGTTTCGCGTTTGTTTCTGGCATTTTGGAGGGCGCACATGTCTCACTCACTCTCAGTTTTGCTCTTTTCAGGGCATTGTAGAATCAAGCACCGACCTGTCTCACTCACGTGCTTGTTCTAGGCAACGACACATGTCTCACTCACTCACAAAATCACTCATGAAATCAGAGTTTTGCATATTTTCGAAAGTTGGACGCAACAACGCTTGTCTCCCTCACTCACTACTCACTTCACGGTTCTGCTTTTTCTTATGCACGTTGGAGGCCAAGACGCATGTCTCACTCACCCACTCACTAACTCACGTTGTTTTGGCACGTTTGACAGACCAACCCATGTCTCACTCACTCTCTCACTCATTACTGCACCTTTTTTGGCATTTTGGTGGGAACGATGCATGCCTCACTCACTCACTCACATCTCATTTTTTCGTTCGTGACATATCGAACCTTGGAATTCTTGTTGTGGCGCCGGGGTTTGCATAGCGTGGAAGGCTTGCTGGAGGGGATGGACCAGGAGGACGACGAGGAAGAGGAAGGGGGAGACGCAGAAGCTGTCGCAGCCGGTGGGGGGGGTGGTTCTCCGGGCGTCGGAGTTGCTGGCGGGGATGGGGGCCAGGGGCAGATAGTGACCGTGGAGCTCACTGAAGAGGAAGATGCCGTTGTTCAGAACGTGAGGCCAACACGGTAGCTTCTGTTTTCTGTTTGCTTTGGTACTGCTTGTTGTTCAGCGTTTGACTGTCGTTGGTTCGGCTGTTGTTGCTGATTGTGGTGTTTTTTGTAGTGGCGGTACAGAGTGGCGTTCATTGAGTGTTGGCGTAAGATGCGGCTCCCCTGGGGGCTAGAGTGGGCCCGCTCTGGCACAAGGCAACCCGCATGATTTTTTTGGTTACAGCAATATCAACAGCAACGATTGGGGATCTTTTCGCCCACCCCTCTGTTGCCCACCCTGCAGCTTCCCGCGGTGCTCGCTCGAAGTTCCTATCGACCATTTCGTTCTTGTTGGTCGTCCTGCCGTGGGCTGTCCTAGACAATCTGATGAAACCCCGCACTTCCCCCATGAGCTACGCTTGTTATGATGCTACCGCGTTGCTCTTGTCGCCCTAGAGTGATAGGTTTTCATGTGTTGAGAGAGCTAACTGTCATGGTGATGCATGCCTTCGCCTGGTGCCAGCGTGATGATGACATCTAAAACCTTACCTCTCGCGTCTAAACCCCTGCTCTTCCTCGTGTGTACCCGCGCGCACGAATCTATTTCTCTTGTGCGCGCCTATGCTGAGAAGCTCATGGCGATGGTTCCGGGTGCCGGTCGGGATCAAGTCATCGAAGCTTTCATCGCGTGTGACAAGAATGCCGAGATGGCGGCCAACTTGCTCTTCGAGAACGCCCTTTAACCTCCCCCCACCCCACGAGCCTCCTACTCACATAGGTGAAGGCTTGCGGCTTCGACTCCGAAGTCATGATGTTGCTGCTGCGGCCGCAGTAAGGTTGGTCCTCTCTGCCTGTGAAATCGAACCCCGCTTCGGGATTACGGACTGAAAACATGTGGTGGGCCGGGGGGTGTAGGGACCATTTTGACTTTTGGTGGTGCGCGCAATGGCTTCCAAGGCGCCCTTCGCGACGCGAACCGGTCTGATCGATGTTTCCCTGTTCTTTCAGGCGAATCAGACGGTTCCGAGTTCCACCAGGTGTGGCCATTTGTCGGCATGATCTGCTCCGCTTGCGACGATGTTGGATGCGCCATCCAAATCAGCACCGTCCATAAAGATGATGACGTGTTTTTTTCGCCTTTGTTTTGTTTGGACGAGATCCACCCATTGTGGGTTGATCAATTATCCGACGATCCTTCGAGTGGGTAGGCGCAACACCGCAGGAATTTATTGATCGAGTTTTTGTGGCTCTTGGATGATGTATTTTTAGACTTTTGTTTCGAGAGGCGATTGTTTGTGAACCCCAACAACGCCGTCTCTAAAGCGCTAGCTGATGATACCGGCAGGCAGAGTTCTCTGATGTCTGGTGCGTGAGGTGGCCAGCGCAGCTCCCAAGAGCTTCGGCGTGGTGATCGGGTATTTTCTTTGCGATTGCTCTTCTTGCTCCGCTCGTAGCCGTATGCGGGAGAGGCAACAGTCTGGGGTGGCATAGGTACAGGCAGGTTGTTTCTCGACGCTGAACATGGCTGTGCCGTCGTAGCAACCTTCCCGCGAGATTCCGCTCCGCGCCGCAGCCCCCCCCCCCATCTCCACAGGGTTTGAGGACGAACCTACCCCTACGTTTCGAATGTTTTCCAGAAGTTGAGGATGCACGTTTCCGGCGGGGGGAGAAAAGGTCGGTGCTCGACGATAGGGAAAGCCGGAACAACGACGGCGCAGCAAAAGCGCGTGGTGAAAAAGTGCGCGTCGCCACTTGAGAACCTCTACCACACAGTTTTGCCCCAGAGGCTCGATTTTTCTTTTCTCGATGGGGGGTATAACCCGACACCGGCTATCTAGGTTTTAGGGTGGGCTTCTTGACGGAGCATGGTTGACTTTTTCCTTTTTGGCTGAATTTGTTCTCGCTCGGCTTTCTATGCGGTGGCGCGTTCTGCATGTTGAAGAAGGATATTGTCGCGTGACTACTGTACGCTTGCTCCTGTGGCCTTTGCTGTTATTTTGCGTCCTTGCTTTTGAGACGGAAGACGAGTGCTTCACAACAACTGTGTGTGTACTGCTGTTCTTTGATGGATCAAGATCACATGACGTTGTCTTGCCCACTACCTGGTATTCGTTTGCGGGTCCTTGCGCCGCCCCTGTTGGTTGCAGTGTGGGGCATCGCCGTACTTAGAGCTCCTGTTTGCTATTTCTGTGTGTGTGTATGTGTGTGCGTATGCGAACCCGTCCGTGTAGAGCTATAATAGCTCTGTAGGGGTTGTGTCGTGCACCGTCCCCTCTTGTGTTCGTCCAGAGGTAGAGGAATTCCCCCGCACAATTGCAGCCGCTGGGGTCGCGGTGTTGCAGATGGTGCATTCATGTGGGTGGACGAGGCTGATGCTGTTGTCTCCAACCTTCGCGCGTTCGTGGACAGCGATGTTCTAGCGGTGTAGCAGGTTATCGTAGCTTCCCAGGGAAGGGCGGGCCGGGGGGCTCCTGGCCAGAGGATGGGTGCTGTCTTGCTTGGCAGTTACACCGCATGTTGTCGCTTTCCGAAAAACGAGGACCGTTCCCAAACCCACTGTGTGTCGATGGCGGAGGTAAGCGCACAAGTATTCAGAGCCGAAGAGGCGCAACGGAAGCATGCTGCAGCTTTCTTGTTGCCCCCTTTCCTTTGAGTAGTCTCTTGCGGGGCGTTGCTTGTGTCCATGGGCCTCACTCTGTCCGTAGGAACAACGATCCCCCACGTATGCCCTGTCGTTGGGTATGCACACACACGGGGGATGGTGGGGCCTTCTTCCCGGTTGCACTCTGGCTCCCAAGTGAAAACGACAAGACCCTCCCAGAAACAAGTTTCTGAGTGGTTCTATGCATACCGCCAAGGGGAAGCGTTTTCCGCCGTGTCCTCAGAGCAACAACATCGGGAACGCGGGGAAACAAGATTCATATCGAGTTCAGGTCGAAGATGAACTTTTCTTCAATTGAAGAAACGAAATTTGCGTCGTTTTTTGGGGGTTTTCAAGGCGAAACATGTACTACTGTATGTACGATGTCGTACGCTGCGTATTTTTTTTCATTTTTTTAAGGTGGGAAGGGCGGCCGGCTTTTTCTTGGAACCCGCCCAAGATCGTTTCTAGATATATGGATGAGCAAGGGATGAGGGACGTGGGGGTGGGCGGGAATGCCTCTGCCCCACCCCCCCCCCTCTCTGTCTACTCGCTCTACTTCTTTTGAGTATCTCGCTAACCTTTGCGAACCGTCGCATCCATGGTACGTTGTGCTGCGTGGCACGATGACCACTTAGGGCTGTGTCGCGCGAACGTGCAGCTTCCTTCCAGGTCCTTCGTCGTGCTGCTGCGGTAGTACTATTTGCGGAGATGTATGTGCATGCCTGTGCAGCAGTAACGGGCGGTGTGTCCTCCGCTCATCTTTGTGTGTCCTCACAAAAAGCAAGTGTGAAGGACTGCAGGAATTGCATGTCGATACAGGTGCTTTGCTAAGAAACCCCCCACGGAACGGACACCAGCATCACCGGCAGTAGCAAAAGAAATCGCTTTTGAGACCGGTGTATGTCCCAAGAAATTTGACCGGCACCATAACGGACACCGGCACTATTCAAAGTACGGAATGACTTGGTTGAATAGTGTGTGCCCTCCGAAAACGCCGTCGCTATACCGGCAACGGGCACTAAACTGGAGGGACCTCCGCGTGTATGAGACTGCAGCTGTAACAGGGAAAGTATAGCGTGTGCACAACGTGCAATGAAGACGAACAGACACCCCGCGGATTGCGCGAATGTGTGATCTATGCAATAAACCCTTGCAACCTGGTTCATCCATCCCTCGATCCCTCCATCCATCAGCCCACAGGGTATGTAAAACGTGTCAAAACCTATTGCTGTGCTGCTGTAGATATGTATAGCAATAATGAGGCATGCATGTCGCCAGTCAGCCGGGTTGCTGCGTTTTCATTGGTCAATTCCGACAGCACCCGTTGGCAACAGGACGGAAAATATTCTGGATGCTGGATGCGGGATGTTTGTCATCAACCATGAGCACTGATGCCGCACTACGGCCTCTGTTCCAGGACACCACAAGACACACAGGCTGTTGAAAAACACGGGAACGTAAGGTGGTTGGAGCCCGTGTTGGTGATCTCTTGGGACGTAGGAGTCAACTCCCCCTCATACACCACTACCGCTCGCTCCTGCATTATTTTTTGCTCGAGATGTCAGCAGCAGCAGCAGCAGCAGAAGCAAGCATTGACGCGGAGCCGAGCCCCACCGCCATCACCGCGACGACGACGGCTCTCCTCGTTATCGACATGCAGAGAGATTTCCTCGAGCCGGGAGGCTTTGGAGAGTCCCTCGGCAACGACGTCTCCGTCCTGCGGACGGCCATCGCGCCGTGTTCTCAGCTGCTCAGCGCCTGCAGGGCCTGCCCCGGGTTGCTCGTCTGCCACACCCGCGAGGGTCACAGACCAGATCTCTCGGATCTACCCAGGTGCGACTGCATGCTCAAGGCCGTTATGTGGTTGACGTGGTGGTTGTCCTTCAATTCACAGCAGCAACAATAGCCGGTCGCCCCTGTGGTCTAGTTGGTGTCCTCGAAACCTTCTAGAGGTCAGGTAAGGGGTTCGAACCCCGGCGTAAGCGAGCTTTTCTTGGAAAAAGAGAGTTTTTCTCTTGCGCTTCCGCTTCTGGCCTAGTGGATAGCGCTAGTTCGTGTGTGCACAGAGGGAAGAGAGTGCTGAACTCTTCTCGCATTTAAAATCGAAGGCAAAGTACCGCAGGAGGGGAGAGTAGAGAGGGGCTCTTCTGTGTGACCACGGATTGGAGTAAACGGCACCAGTGCTGTGAGCGCTGATTTAAAAGTGAAGACAAAAAAAAAAAAAAATGGCAGTAAATCCACGTGAAATGGGTGTGTAACACTCCCCCCCCTCGTGTGGCTCGACACCCTACATGACGTCAGCCGCCCAGGGCGAACGATGCGTCGTCCTCCTCCGGTCCTCCGGATACATATTTCCCGCACGAACCTCCTTGTCATTTTGTGTCATCTTGAAGACGCAAGACACCAATAGGATGGAAATATTCTGGTGCGTCGCAGTGACGTCGTCGCCCACGTACGTCTCGGATCGTACTGTAGACGTGGGGGATGTAACTGTCGTGAACGTTCTTTCGTTTTTTCTATTATAGCATTTTTTGGGAGGTGTCGCAGTCAGAGAAACCACACGGTATCTTTGTGTGCATTTATCTACACTGCTGCTGTAGACGATAGGCCGTTGTTTCAATAAATATAACTAGGGCACGTAGCGGGGCCTCCCGCCCTCCACGTGGCGGGGCCTCCCGCCGTGAGGGCGGCGGGGCCCGAAAAATACCGCCACTTGCACAGGAAGTCATCCAGACACAAAATGATCATTTGGTAAAAGGTTCAATTGTAGCGTATTTGAGGCGACGTGAGAACACACGGTGGAATGTCGCATCGTTTTATTACTTGGATATTTTTTGTTCGTCTCCGTGTACACGTACACAGCAGTAATTAGCAGCGGAAAAAAAAAATACTGTCGAATGGTGGTGCGTTGGGCACGCCGGCGTCTAAAAAATATTGGGTGTCTTCGCGTCTTTGTTTGGTGGATCGAAGTCGTCGGAATCTAAACTGATGTACCTGACGTGGTATTGCAATTCCGAGAAATCAGATGCGTTCACATGTGGGAAAAGCATGTGGTCGCAAGACAGAAAATAGCAGTTTTGTCGGTCATAGGTTGTACAACAAAAGTAGATAGGCGGTATGGTCAATTTGAGAGATCTGGGTATGTAGTCGGAGATAAGATCCAAGTTGTATGTACATGTTGTGTACATGTATGTACAGTCCGAGAAGAAAATTGCGCCGATCAGTTTCTCCGTAGAGTGCACGGAAGTAGACATCACTGGCAACGCATACGAACCCACGTGCACGCATGCATGCGTAGGCCTGCGGTGAGATAGTTGCCATGTAGGAGAGCAGGCATACTCCGCAGCAGCGGTGGCACAGCAGTCGCGCGCCTGCACGCACACGTTCAGTGCTAGTAGCATTTCCCAGCGAGCAAGCTAGTTTTTACAGAACAGCACAGCAGCACAGCAGAAGGGCTTCGAATCGTATCGGGAAACAACAGAGTCGTCTGATCGTTGTCTTGTACCATGGTAACATGGAAACGGGACGTATCGTGCGAGCTTTCAAGGCACAGAGGTTAATATGGTGGAGCTAGTTAAGGATTGAAAACGTAGTATCTGTCCAGAAGGCCGGTGGAGGGCACAAGGCAGATATGGTCCGCAATAAATTTTGTGTGTGTGTCGCGTCGAGTGAGGTGTGCTGTGGACATTCGTCCTCGTCAAGACACGGCAGAAAGTCCGTGGATCTCCGGCTTGTTGTTCCTACAAAGGCCTGCATCTATCGTTACATGATGTCTTAGGTGAAGGTAACGTTAACCATCGTTCAGAGTTTGAGTTGCAGCAGTACGTACATATCTGCATACACATGGAGATGGATTTATTTTTCAATAATGAAGAAACAACAACATGCTTCTCGTACTAATATGGGTGACGACGAGGACGTTCCTAGCAATAATAACTTAGAGTGATGAACGAATTGCCTACCACAGCTGACATATGATGCCACACCCACCCGCTGAGCCGAGTTTCAAAGCTCGAGTAGACTACTCCACGAAGAAAAGGATGCACGGCAATATCAAACAAAATGATGTAACGTCTTCGGAAGCTCTCGACTGGTGCCTGCTCCAACGCCGCCATTTTTGACGCCACTGCTGTTGCTCTAAAGTATTCTAGCTTTGAAAAGTGATCCAGGGGATGTGGCCCTACCAACGGCAACATATCGCTGAGTTCTGATAGCGATCCCGTAGCTACGTCCGGCAGGTGTCCTTTCAGTATCGGAGGCGAGAGTCTACCGGTGAGAACCGGGCTCATGCAATACTCCCGGCACAGTTGGACTTTGACAAAGTTGCTGCTGCTGGTCGGAAAATGGACGCCAAGCTCGTAGTCGTCGAGGTACCGAGCGGTCAACCGTATGGGTGTGGTTCTTCCGGGGTCTATGACAGATGGTGTGCTAAGCAGCTCAACGGCCATCAGAGACTGAAGGCATGGTATGAATAGAAGGTTCTCCGTAGCAGCAGGCTCCGCCGTATTTTTTCCCTTCCCTTTTCATGGCACAAGACAACAAATTTGTCCCCCGCCTTCCCAACTCTGAAATATGGCCGCCGCCGCTGCGGCATTTATCTAATTCGTCCTCGCCCGCCATGTTTCCTTTTGTTGTTTGTGTTTGCGGTGTAAATCACGGAGCAGGCACAAGCTGATGCAGAGTCCAGAGGGTAAGAGGATCGGTGACCTTGGCCCAATGGGGCGCATCCTCGTGAGGGGGGAGAGAGGGCACGATATCATCCCTGAGTTGTGAGTTGTCCAAAAATATTGTAGATAGATGCAGTGAAGAACGCGCGGCCACAGAAGCACCTTGCGGGTTAAAGAACTATAGGCTAAACGAAGAACCAACACGCATGCGGAAGGCAGGACATGGCAGACAACGGTAACAGGAAGGAGATGGAAGCAAAGCCTCGTTGTGAAAAAGCTGAGTCACGCTCCCGTTGCTACTTTCAAGTGAAAACACCCCTCCCTGTCGAAGTTTTGCTCGCAGCCCTACGAAGCTGGAGTGCCCGTGACCGATTTCGTCCACCCATCACGCTAACCCCACCCCATGCTCTCAAGGAACGACCAGGGTGTTGCACATCGAATCAGAATGAATTGCGAAGGTGAAACAAAGTGAACCACGCCGTCCTTCAAAGGCAACAGTAGGCCCTACCCCTAGACTGTATTCGTACCGGGCCCTGACTTGCTCGGAAGCTCTCTGTCGAGACTATCGCCAATTGAGCAACACCGGTAGCCAGTGGCACCACGATGAAAGCGCTGGTAGCCGAGGACACACGGAATGGACACAATCAAGTACTTTTCGCTAGACATGACGGGCTATGTCAAACCACAAGAACACACCAACACATTCCTATTTGCTTTCGTCTACACCGTGTACGAAGAACACACACAAACCCCCTCCACATTTTGCGTGCACTCCAATCGCACCCAACACAAAACGTGGAAAACACAGATACCCCCTGCCGATGGAACCGTGCGTCGACAAGCCCGGCAAGGGGGCGTTCTTTTCCACCGACCTCGAAACAATATTGCGGTCTCGCGGGATAGAGACTCTGATTGTTTGCGGCGTTACCACCGAGGTGAGCAGCGGGTGGTGGCGGCATGTTGCGGGGGGCGTATTTTGGTGTTGTCCTCCCTTTCCCCTGAAAGTGTCAGAAAATAGCACCCGTCTGGAACGAACCCTGGCAAGGCAGTTCTTGAGGTCATCGAGGCATTCCTTGAGTGCGGCGTGCGATGCAGGCGATGCGAGGACGGGGGGGGGGGGGGGGGACTCTTATGTTGGGCATGCCTTAACGGTTAAACCCTTGACCCCCCGTAATCCAAAGGACGGAGCATTTTTCCCCCAGGACCCAACCCCGATGGGCAATCCTTCCTTCCTACTTTTAAAAAGGGGGGTCAAAAAAGTCTTCCCCAATTCGTCTATCCCAAAGATATCCCTTCCCGCCTTTTAAAAACCTTCCTACTCCCCAGTACAGCTACCGTCCTCTCCTCTCCATTCCATGCCTCAAACATCTCCCTGCACTTCCCTTGTATTTTTCCCAGCTCAGTCATGTGCACTTCCCTCTCCTCTTCGTACAGCCAACATTCCGCGACTACATGAACACGGTCTTCGCATTCGAAGCCGTAATCACATTTGAACTCGTCGTCTTCGTCGTCTACCGTCCTATGTCTTCGTCGACGTTCTCGAAGGCCGATGTCCCCGGTCCTGAATATGACCTTAAGCTTTGTCCCTGCATCCATTGGTCCACGTAGGTAGCCCTTGAACCCTATTCCTTCTTTCAACATTCCGTACACTTCTAGACCCTGCTTATCCTCGGTTTCTTTCCTTAGATTCTGTTCTTCTCTCTCGGCACAAGCAACAGATATCTTCTCCTTGAACCCCTGTAGACCCTCCGTTTCCAGCGTTTCATCTTCGTCGATGTCTAACCCCTTCCATACGTCCTCTACAACCTTGACCCATTCCGTGGGTTGTCTACCCCTCTTTTTGTTTGCCTACTTCGCCTCCCATACTATTCTCGGCAACCTCTCCTCTCCCATTCCGCACATGCGATACTGCCATGTCAGCTTCCTTACGTCTCTTCCCGACCGTAGGGATTGGATCCCCAATTCTGCCCTGACGGCTGCATTACTTGTGCGCTTGGAGCATCCTGAGGATGATTTTCGCTGCTTTCATCTGCGCCGCCTCGAGTTCTTTCGCTGCCTTCTTATTTCCTTCCCATACTTCTCGGGCGTACTCTAGCGGCGGTACGATTAAGCTCTTCGAAACCGTCAATTTGATGCGTGTATCGAGGTGTCGGTTTGCGAGTATTGGGTGCAGCTTCCCTGCTCGTGCTTTGCCCTTTTGCGCTACCTTGGACATGTGTGCATTCCACCGGCGGTCTTTTGCGATCTCTACTCCGAGGTATGTGTACTGTACTGGTCCACTACTGCAATCTCCTCTATCCCCCACTTCCATGTATGTTGTACTGGTTCCTGCCTGTCCTCGTTGCATACCATGACGGCACTCTTCGAGGGGCGAGGGGGGGGGGGGGGTCTGTTAGATAATGGCTTATCCATTGGACTCCTGAGTTAGCCTTTATCTAACGCGATCGGTGCGGGATCAACTTACCCTACAAGGCCACGCCTTCCAGAAATCAGACATTACTTATGATGACCCATGGATCACCTCCGCTGGTGGGTTTGTGCTTTCTCCTTGCATGCTGCGTACACAGTTGTTGGACCCCTGACGACACATTCAACGTCTTGTCATGCAGGTGATGCTGCTAGTTGACTACGCGCCATACGTGCGGGCTTGTGTTCCTTGCTGCGCTCCATGTTGTCATGTGTTGCTACATACATTTGAGTAGGCCCGCTGCTGCTGGCTGACTAGACTACACGTTGTATTTCTTGCTGCGCTCTGTTATGTTGTAAATTTTGGCCACTACATGGCATACATAGGTCTGCGTACATACCACCGTGCGAGAGGCTAACGACCGAGGCTTCGCCTGTGTCGTGGTCGACGAGGCTTGCTCCTCCTTCTTTCCGGAGTTCCACAGGGTGGGCCTGTCCATGGTCAAGGCTCAGGGAGGAATCTTCGGCAAGGTCGCGTCGGTGGCAAGCGTGGTCAGGGCCGTGCGCGAGCTCGCCGTTGCCGGTGCAGGCGCCGCCGACTCTTCCTCCTGATACGTCGTGTTGTTCAATAGCACACATGCTCGGGTTCTCCCCTCCGTGGAACATGTAAATAGGTGGGAAGGTGCTTGCTGATAGCGTTGCCTCCCGAGGTTCTCCGTAAGCTTTGGGGTAGAGGGACCAGAGCTGTCAGAGCGGCGACGGCAGGCTGGGTGTGCGGGTTTTTGTGCGTGTTGTTTGTTGTGAGCAAAATGCATAGCATCTCGTAGTGTAGCAAGCTAATTTCCAGAGGTTTCCTGTTTAAGGGCGCCCGCGATACTCGACTCATCCGCTATTGTGTGTCTGGCTAGCTGGTTTGCGAGAAAATTGGAGCGGTATCTGCCACTCAGACTCACTTGAGGGTTCCGTTGACTGGTGGTGCTGTAGTGTAGAGATGCCAACACATTGAACGCGCCCGTGCCGTTTGTGGTTGCCCCTAGACTTGAGTGCGTCATGTGGGCGTATTGTCCATATCACCCTTTGTTCCTTGGTGTTTAGTGTTGTAGACATGTGTTTCTTACTGTCTTGGTGTTTAGTGTTGTAGACATGTGCTTCTTACTGTAGTGGATAGTGCCATTTTGGGTCACGACGCCACTTACCAGAGCGGTTGAGCGTTTTCTGGCCGGTGGCATTCCTTCCCCTCTTGCCCTCTGTCGGGGCCGCGAGTTCGCCCCACATCACCATGCGGCTTTAGAAATCGGCGCGCCGCGTATATACATGTATCACCACTTTCGGTCAGGACTTGGCGCTTTCGGCTAGCATGAGGGGAATACTGTAGATTGATGGCTGTTCAGGTGCCAAGGGGCTTGTATCCGTTCAAGACACAGGTATGCATCTCTCGTCGCTGTCGGTACATAACACGAGCTACTTGCTGGTAGAGGTCGCGGCGTTCTGACTAGAACCACTGGGAATTTAGTGGAGTGCAGGTGGGATGCACTCGGAACCTCGTCAAATAGAATTTGGACCGGTTGTGGGGTAACGGACTGATACCGGCCTTCCCCCTGTCAAAAAAGCTCCCGTATTCGCTGACACAAGCTTCCTACCATTCGAAGGCGACACACGAACCCTAGCTTTCTCCCATGATACCCGATAAATCAAATCGGGTTCTTGACTGCCTTGTACGCCGCGAGCGTGGTACATCTCTCACCAGATGCACCAAACTTCCTTTTTCCATGGCAGCGGCCGTGTCGACAACGGAATCTGATTCTCATCGGATACGGTGAAGAACAAGGTGACCCTACCAACCGTAGGGGCACGAACGCCATATTTCGTAGATGCACTGTAGGCGGGACTGATATCGAAACACGAGGCGAAAAATAGAATCAAAGGGTTCTACGCGGCGCGCGGCGGGGGTGAGGCAAAACGGCATACCGTAGAGAACTTTCCTCTGCACTGTTTTGAGTTTCAAGGGTTTGTTCAAATTGAAAGCATTATGGTGGAGCCTGGCCACCCGCGCGGCGGTGCCTTGATTGGAGCACAGGAGCACGGCACATAGAAAGCGTGGGCTCTGGTCGTTGCCGGACGAGACAGTCAAGGGTTGCGTCCTTGCGTTGGTGAATCGTGTGTTCAGTGCGTGTGTTGGACTGCCGGTCCCGTACTCTGCCTACACTATGCCATCACACTCGGACCACGAAAAGTCACTTGGTCGACAACGAGGCGAAAGACAGCGAAAGTACGCACGGCAGCATTTCAATCTCAAAGCAACGTTACAGTAGACAATTGGTTTCCGAGAAATCTTCCATTATTCCACACGAAGCCAAAGAAAATAATCAGATGGTGGACAATTAAAGAGATGGAGCCGACGACTTTACAAATGTTCCGCCCCACACACGAATATACTGCGCATACGCCAACTCCCGTGCTATTTCCCAACACCCCCAGCCTCCACATACGAAGCACCCATGTCACAATATGGCGAAAAACTAGAGACAGAACAACAACAAAGCTAGCACACCAACGTATCACGGCCTACACAACCTCGTACAAAAGAGACCACCGGACAACAAAATCCATGGATTCTCGTGACCAAAATTAACCCACGGAAGCGACCATGGACCGGTTGGGCCATGCTGAAAAGCAGGAGCGGATACGGGAAGGGGGTTGCGGTCTCTCGGCGCGGGGCTGTCGTGGGTGTGTCTATGGGAATTGCACACGACGCAAAAATTCGACAAAAAAAAAAAAGCAGCAGCAGCAGCAGCAGCAGCAGCAGCAGCAGCAGCAGCAGCAGCCTTGAAAAAAAAATGAATCACGACTACACGATGCGGAGGCGAAGACCACAATATAGCCAAGCACAACCTTAGTGTTCCCAAGAATACTGCGCAAGAGGCACAGGGGCCCGCGGGTATATTTACGCCACCCGATCAACGCGATGACCATTCCCCTCCACGAAGCCCACACGGCAGCTACACACGGCACTCGTCCGCCACGCTACTCCCAAGAACGCATATGAGGTTGAGTTTCGAGGAGAACCGGCGACGGAAGCGTCTCAGAGAGACCCAAGCCGCCACAGCGCCCTCTCCCTCCTCCCACCTCAACACAAGCATGATATGTACCGGGGTTCTGGGTGCCGCCGAGGGCTGACCCCAACCCTGCGCCCACGCGCGCCCCCCCACCCCCCCCCGCCAAAAAAAGAATGCCAAAATCACACTACATGGGGGGGATCGGGGCGCCGAAGAACACGACCTGAACCCACTCCCCGAAGCTCACGCAGCCGCCGGGATGCGTGAATGGTGCGCAGACGGCCAGGTTCCCGACCTCCTCGGGTTGGAAAGAGAGGAAGATCACGAAGGACAACACCACCGCCTAAGTACCATACACCCGGCAAACGAGGAAAGGGGGAGGGGGGGGGGGCGCATTCAAGTATTGTATGCCTTAAATGTTAGGCCATTGACCAAGCGTCCTCGAGTAAGGGGGGGGGGGGGGGGGCCCCCTGGGGGGGGTGGCGGAATCCTTTCCCCCTTTGCCCCCCCTCCCCACAAAACCGGGGGGGGGCACGCCGGGGTTTTACCCAAACCGGGTCTCCCATTACCCAAGGGGGGGGGCCCTTGGGGATTTTGGGGGGCCCCAGAAGGGGGGGCTGCCTCCCGGGAAAGGGGGTCGGGAATTTTTGGTTTCTTTCTTGGGGACGGGGGAAAACCGGGGATGAATTAATTTTTTTTTTGGGGGTTTTCCTTTCCAAAAAAATTTTAAACCCTGTGTAAAT